ATTCAAGATCACCAGTTTTTACACATTGAGGATGATTGCTAGTCTCAAGCATCGTCTATTGGTTCTCTGTGTAATTACAGCTGGTCTGTCAATAACAAAGTAGCAACCGTGGGCGGTCAACCATGCTCATGCTCATGTTCATGCTCAATAAGAATCATTATTTTTAATATCCACAACGTAAAAAATACTTGTTGTAAACTTTTCATGACGTCTTGAAAAATAGCTACATTATTGTTACGTACTATTTAACATTTTTGCAACAGTTCAGTAACTTTGATTATATCTGGTTGAAACGTATACTACCGGCCAAATGTTCAATGATCAAGGTCGACTCTGTTTTCTTATGGCTTAACCTTGTTTAAGTGAAGGCTTTGATTTATACTTTATCAGAATTTCGATAGAAGGCTGAAACGGTCAAACGATCGTTTCATATAGAAGCGTTAGAGTTGGTTGCTCCTAGTGCTTAGGCAATAGGTGAATTCGAGTGCTCGAATCAATTTGTTTTGAAATGACGATGATAGTGGGGTGACTGTGTTTTCACCCATGTCAATGATTAATGACAGGGAAAATCTGATGATGAATTTTAGAAATCAAGATAGAACCGGAAACAAAACTTGGAATATTGAAAAGATGAAATGAATAGAAGGGAAGTTTATTGGTTGGTCAGGGAGAGCTATTTGGTCTTTCCCTTTTGGACCGCCGAGTGAAGAAGATCAGTACAGAATTTTAAGAAAATCAGTGCAGTGAACAAAACCTATAATAAAATCAAGTACGGTGCAAACTTAAAGAAAAAAAAATTAAAATGTTGTAATGTGGTGTAATTATTTTTTACAGAATTTATTAACCTTTTTTTATACATAAAAAGCACACAAAAACGTGAGTCACGAGTGCGAAAATTGTTTATAAAAGTAAGCGAAGTTTATTTGCAAAAGTGAAGATAGTTTCCTAATCAGTTAAATTTTTTATTGAAAGGTTTTTCTAGAAAAACAGGCTAAGGTAGCTAAAAGTGAGTCGGAGTAATTTAAGTGAAAAGATTGAGAATTCAGGTAAAGTAGTGGATAAAAACATGTGTGATGTGTTTCTGAGGAGTTTTTCTTTGTTTCTACAGAAGCCACTGAGCGGTGGCAACAGCGATTTGGGCTTGTGGCAGGAACGTTCGCTAAACATATTGCGAGGTTATTTTGAACGGTATTTCCATCGGTTCACCTCCCAGAGTGAATTTGAGTCCTTGGTTGGTGGTATCAGGCTTGGTTACCCTGAGTGCTCCTATCGCCTCGTGGTTGCGTACCACTATAGGACATTCGGAGAGCGTTGGTCATCGGATGAAGAACTCGGCCCCACGTGCATCACACGCCTAAAGTGATTGCCTGTTTCGTGGGAAGGTCCACAAGGGGGAAGGCTGCCAACGCCAGCGTAATCCGCCCGACTCACGTCCTGAAAACCGGAGGCCCTCCGTGCGATACCACCCCACAGAAAAACCGCCCACCGACGCTAGTGCACACTGGAACTATCCCAAACGGTGAATTCCTTATCTAGCGAGTTTCGCCCGGCAATGCCACTCGACGACATCCGCCCCACCCGGTGCACGCTATTGGTCGCCACTCTGGCGACGCTCCCTTTTTGAGGTTAGGACACGGCGTTGTCTGACCCGGCGATCGTTGCGATCAAAGCGATCTCCAACCGTCGCATCTTCATCTTGGTCGCGGTGAACAACTTGGCACCGAACCATCGAGCATCATCGAACCGGTCTGAAGTAGATTGGTCCCCCCCCCCCCCCCCGGCAACGGTCGGGGTGATCATCATCGTCCATCATCATACGGAAGAGCCACCCACTACGGACGAGTGTGGCTCGAACAGGTACCGTTGAGCAGCAACCGTAAGTACGCGAACCATTCTCCTCACACACACAAGAACACCGATTTATAAGTAGGGACCCTGAATTATATTTAGTAGGGGAAGAAAGCTTTTTAGGGGTTAGAACGACTCACAAGGGAACACAAAAGGGGGGGAAGGGAAGAGTGACGTCACACATAGGAGAAAAAGGTAGAGCAGGGTTTTGTGAATAAAACAACAACAACAAAAATTAAAACGAGCAAACCATAAATGGATTTTTTTGAACCTTTCAAAACCAGGTTTTTTTTTCGTTAAATCGAATTTGACTTTACTGAACTTGATTTTAATAAACCTATTTCACATGCACCGTATTTTAAAATTCACTCAATCAATTAAAAACAATTGGAAGATAAAATTAGAATAGAAGAATTGGGGGGAAAAAGAACGATTGGACTATTGGACTTGGGACGTTGATGGTTTTTGGTCGTTGGGTTACTCTAGTGGGTGGAATCTGCTGGGTTGAGAAAACTGCTAGCTGGGCACACATATCTGCAATTCTCGGCAGACGACTTCTTCGTCTGGCGCATAAGCCGGAATTTTTTGAGAACCCTAGCAGGATCCCCCTTACAAGGCTTTGCATTATAAGTACAAGCAATTTTTTGAAGATCGAAGCAACATATCGAATATACATGTTTGGACGGTTCTTGAACTGTTGCACCACTTTCCTGGACATTTTACTGTCCATTGAACCAGTTTTACGACCACTTCCTTCCTTCTTTCGGGCACTCAGACGCAGAATTGTGTTTGAAATTCCAAGCGATTAAGTGATCCATCGGTGGGACGTCTCTGGATTTTGATTGTAAGTGCACAACATTTATTTTAACGGACATTTTTTTTTTGTTTCGACGACATGACTGGAACTACTGTTAGAATAACTTTGAAACTTGACAGATGTAAACAATACACTATAAATAATGTTTACTAAAATGTTCAGGTTTTTGTCGAATGCACCCTTTTTTCGGCCCAACTAGACATGGAATTAAGTGAATTTTGTTACAAAGAATGAACAATGAACAATGGATTATCGGCTCCGTAAAGCTAACGTGATTGAGCCTTCCAAATAAACGAACTAGATAAAAAAAGGTTCCTTGTTTTGTTCTTTTGCTTTAAGGCCTTATTTGGTTCGCCTCTTGGCACCAAACAAGGGATGTTAAAAAAAGGGTTGTTCTCGCATGATGAGGTCAAGTTTGCTTTTTTTCATATAACGGTGACCCATCCTAGTATGTATGGAAAGATGTGTGGGAAACGAAGCGATTCTGTTAAGTTGGTATTTAAAAATTTAAAAAAAATTGCCCAATTTTGCAGAAAAAAAAATATGGAAGACCACAATTCAATTCGACTTCTGTGCAAAAGTTATCATTTTTTTTTACTTTTGTCCTTGTGCTCAGCGCATACATACAGGCGTATATACTTGAATGTTTGCGTGACGTAATTGGTGTAAATTAAAACACAAATACCTCTGTGCACAGAAGTCGAATCGAGATGCCTGTTTTGACAAAGTTGTTCGGCATAGTTCGCAATCGTAGTCGCAAGTTTAGTAAAACTTGAGCAATTTTGGAGTTTTTGACAAGCAAATGATAGTTTCTCTCCGTTCCCTACACAATTTTCCATACATACTTTTAAGTTCTCCCACAACTCCAGAAATTACCAAATTCGTTCAAATTTGACACATTGTTTGAAATAACATCCCACGTATATCACACAACTGAGGGCCAACCCGAGCAAAGCTGAACATCAAATTGAAATCAAAATTTGCTGTTATGATGTAACTTATTTTGAATACTCCAGTTGATCTCATTTTGGTTGACTTAACGGTTAACACAGCAAAAATGAGAGCAAAATTTTACACTGTTGAAGCAAACGGAAAACTAATCCTGCTTTCAATGAAATCAATTTGATTACTGATTTTGCATTCATAATGTTTAACTGAATACGGGCCTAGAGTAAATGGTTACCATTCATGTTTCTCAAGCTGAAAGACTTAGGCTCCAATCTCACCGCGGGCAAGTCACGAATGACCTAAAATGTGTTAAACAAATCAGATAAACGATAATCATTAGCTCAACGACAGATGAATTTCAATTAAATTTTAAACAAGACGTAAACAGCAGAACTTCAAGTTAAGTTGATTTCATTTAAAACGTCTTGACTGCATAATGAAAGCACAATATGATATCAGACTTATGTCGCAACATTTGAAATCAAAATGAGTTTTCATTATGATAGGAACTGCACACTTTAATATCGATTTGCTTTCATTTTGTTAACCGACTTTGCTCGGGAAGCCACACCCGCCACCACCTCTACACCATGCCACTGTACCAAGTATGGGAAATGGCTCTAATGTTGGCCTATGGATCTAAGATTGGGCCCATCGCTAAACATCTGCTATGTATCAATTTTATCAAGATGAACGCGTGATTGGGACGGTACTAATGGATATTTTTGGTAGCTATTGAAAATTTAGTCGATTGCTGAATTTATGTATGGGTCCAAATTTGAGGCCGACATTACATCCATTTCCCCTAAATCTGAAAAAGAAATGAGGAGATCATACTCGACGATCAAAGTTTGGAATTTATTTAGTGCAGAATCCAAAACCATAGCCCACCAAAATCTGTTCCAAAATCCACTCTCAATATTTTCCCTTGCACATGGAAAGCACTCGGTCATAATCACTTCATTTCACATTTTCATTGGCTAGCATTCAGCACAGCTGAAGCCTCCTTCCTATGGCGTCGATTAGCAACAACTTCAGGTCAATTCCAGTGGCCAGACTGAGCTCGTTACTTGACTTTACAATCATGGTCAACCTCGATAGGGATTAAGAAATTAACAAAAAAAAAAACACTCTGAACCTCCTACCCCCTCAATTCATTCGGCAGAAATAAAACACAATCATCCCCGGCACCAGCTAGCCAACCGTAATGGCAATAACTTCGTTGCGCTTCGTTTTCCCTTCTGATGGCCCCTTCCTACCCTAGTTGGCACCGCGAAGCCGCGGCGCCACCGTTGATGACGAGCCGTCGCCCGGAGGCCGGGATTGCGTTGTAAATCACCACTTTATGTAATTATGGACCGTCCAGATTTTTTTTGCCTGCTCTTACCTATCGGGCTGAAAATCAGTGCACTCGCATATTTTCCTCTTAGCTGCTTTTTGTTTCACTCGCATGCGTTCTTCCGGGATGCAATTATGTAAATCTACCATCCGCCCGTTCGTTAGTTAGTGTTGCAAAACGGTTAGCATCATTTCCCAGTTGGCATCAAAAATACGTTATACAGATCATCGTCATTAATGTTTTAATCCACTCCGTTGGTTGCATCTTTCTGCATCAGTAGAAATTCGCTTTGGGAACGACGATTCGGCCGTGAAGCGCATTTTTCATCTGAAGTTGATTACTCAGAAACATAAATCATCATTCCCTCATTCATTGCGGTGCATTTCAAAGAAGATTCTGGTCGGCATGCGGATGTTTACCAACAATCTCAATGTTCTCCCACCCTCTCAGCTAATCCAAATAAACCGCAAATCGTGGCGATGCCTGTTGACAGCTTCTGTCAGCCACCCACTTTGACAGTAGCTCTCTGCTGCGTTCGTTGTTGCTTCTGTTTACATCTTTTCACTCTCAGCAACACGCAAATGATGAAAATTTTCTCCGATTGCCCCTTGACTGCTAGGGCGTATTCACTTCTAAAACACCTTCTTCGTCACGTAATCACACTTCACTGGGTAGTCTAGCGTCCTGAGAGCACAACATCTTCCATGCCATCATTTTTGACATTCGTAAACTGTCACAATCAACAAAAACACGAAAGAGGGCCGAAAATTGGAGCAAATATGCTCCCGCGAATACTGCGCTCCATCCGTCTGGCCTCGGGGGTGCTGTGGATTTTTCTCACTCTTCCGAGTAGCTCCCAGTGATCTTTGAGACGAACTAGAGCGCACACAAAACTTGTTCCTTATGGCCCTCGGGACGAATATTGCGAGCGAAAGTGTGAGCGAGCGATATATCGTCGTAGCACGGCGAGCCGAGCGCGAGCATGGATAACGCGGAACTGAAGTGTGACTTCGTTTCCCGGATTGTAATTAGTCCTGCACAAGACATAGTCCTGCTGTACTCTGAGTTAGTTTTTGATGGGAGATTTACTCATGATTATTCAATGTCCTCTCCGGAGCAAAAATTCTGCTCGAATTGGACGTACGCATGCGCGCTCTTGAATTGCTCATGAGCTCAGCTCTCACGGTGAAATGTGTTTTGTTTTGAACGTTTACGTCGCAGAGAACAAAGGATATTCATGCAAAATTTGGTGAGTGACTGTCACAAAGTGACACAATTGGTGGACCCCTGTGTGAGTGATTCACTCCTTTTGTGCTTTGTGCTATGTTTTGACGAGTGGCGAAAAGGGGATGACGATTATGTAACACATCTATGTTGAAGCGGCTTCAGAGCGTGTTCAGAATTTGGAAACACTCCTTGTCGGTTCGTTGAGCAGTCGAATTTGACGAATGTGGAGAAAAGGAAAATTATTCAGTTGATTTTTTCATCTAATTAGTTTCTTCTTTATATGAACAATTATTAGAAGAATATGTACAAATAAAAAAAGATTTTCCACTTTCCACTTTCAGCTAAATCAGTTTCCATCTAAATGAGTTCGAATTTTGCCCCTTTCAAACCCCCAATGCTGATACTGAAAAATACTTAAACTATCATAACTCCGTTTTTTTCTGAACAGATTTGTTATCGATCAATTTTAAAAAGACGCAAACTCCTTTTGGGTGAGATGTAAAAGATTTTGAAAATATATTTTGAATTTGGAAAAATATTTTGAATTTAAATGGGATAATTTTTTACGGTGGGGTTATCGTGGATGTCGAAAGATGGAAACGGGACGACCTAACTCCATTTAACCCAATATTTTTATCAGTGGTTCGAATTTTAGGTCAGAATTATTAAGAAACAAGAATTTTTTTGTTTGAATCATGATTATAGGACATAGCAACAGTTATTTAAAGATATAAGTTTGTCTAGTTTAAAAGGCATGGACTGAATTCTCTGCAAAAAACAAATTTCATCCTAATGCGATTGACGGCGCCAGTGCTTGAGTGGTAAGCGTCACTGCTTTATCATCCAAGTGGGTATGTGTTCAAACTAAGCTAATGTCGTTCTGATTTTCAGAGTCGAAAAATCTCTGGTCATGTTTCGAAAGGAAATAAAGCCGTTGGTACACATTTATTGATGGGTTCGATATCTCTAGTTCAGCTGCTGGGGCTCCTCCGTGGTGTCGGTGATTGACACTTAATTTCAGAATAGAGACCGACGGAAAATAAACAAGATCCAAAAATATCCCGTGGGTCTCATGCGCTTATTCATTCTTATTCTTCCAACGAAACATTTTGGCTGTAAATACCGCTGCTGTAAAATCTAGGCCTCTCAGCTATTGCAGGAAAATATCAGAGGTATAAGGCCTGCCAGATGTAATTTACAGAGTTTTTGGTTGGACGACATTTAAAATTTGGGAAACATTGAGTTAACTTATTGACTAATCCGAACAAGGCAGAGCTCCACCGTGGAAGGCGGTGCCCTCGTCCGGTAGAGATGCCCCGACGGCCGAAAGGAAAGAATCAAACATTGAAAAACAAACCAGCGTCCTTCAGGAAGGAGATCAGGGTGGTCAGGATCGAAGGTTCGTCGCCCAGTATGTCGCCGATATTCCCCGAAAGGCCGTAGTTTTGCCGCACGAGCTCGTACTTTGGACACATGCAGGGGATATGCTCGACGGTGTCTGGAATATTAAAGACAGGTCTTGCGGAAAACTCCTCCGCCGAAATCGTGTGAGAGCCGGGTGTGACCTGTGCGAAGCCTGGAGATGACTCGTTGCTCCTTTAGGTTCCCAAGGTCCTTCCATGGACGCGTTTTCTTCTTGATTTTCCTTAGATGCGGTCCTTGGTTTGCCAACCATTCTTCTTGCCACCAAGCCTGCATGGAAGTTTCACTTGATGTCCAGAAGGGGAGCTTCATCGGTGTACCTGGCACCAGATGGTCCCGCTCCGGCCAGTCTGTCAGCGTCGGAGTTGCCAGTGATGCCACAATGCCCCAGAACCCAAGCAAATACTGTGTTGGGGGGGGGGGGGGCATCTGATGATCCCCTGAATCCACGGATGAGTGGGCATTTTGGATTGTTGCTTCGAAAATCGCCGCTGCCTCTGCAGAAAAAAAAACAGAGCATTGTGGCGGTAGGCTCAAGCTCGTTGGCGAGATCTTTCCTGCAATGCTTATCCCAACTCCGTTGTGCAATTAGGCCCGTCCGTACAACGGTGCGTATGCTTGGGGTAGCTGGGGTTTAGCATCTCCGCGATGGAATGTCTGAGCGTCGCCGAGTTGTCTCCTGCCCTAAACTGGTCCTTAATTCGGCTATCGATGTTTAACGGTCTCGATTGCCAACTTTTTCCTCCCAGCCAGTGGCTCTTGGCTATTGGGGGAGGTCGGTATTGGCTGCTGTACGGAGGATTCATAGATCCATTCGTTACCCGATTTTTTTGCCAAGTAGGCAGCCGCTTTGATGGCGACTGCGGTATTGATTCGAAACCGGACAGGAAGTACCCCGACTTCAGCGCAGGCTGTGTCGACCGGCGTCCAGGCAGGAGACCTGAAATTACCCGGATGTAGCCATTGTAAACCGGTGCAAGAACTTGCAACAGTTTGTCCTTGGCCATTGCGGTGAGCTCCAGCCGGATGTAGCCGGATAGCTCGATTGTTGGTGCGGTGCGGCATGGAGATTGTTTTGATAAAGTTTATGCGGGTCTTGCAACTATCCTTAACACACTGGAAGTGTTGCGTGAAGCTTAAGTGTCGATCAACTAGATCGCCCAAGATGCGAATCGTTTTTTTTTTTTCTGGGATATCGGTTGATCCCCGATCTTGATAGAAGCTCCGCCGATTCGGTGACCGGAAGCGCAGACGTGACAGCGGATACTCTTTGCTGTTGAGAGTTGGAACCTGGCTGAGGCCGCCCATTTGGCAACTGCCGATACAGCTGCTTGTGTTGGGATGCGGGTTCAATTAGCACGTCATTCGCGTAGACGGGAATGTGGATGTTCATCGCTATTAGGAAAAAAGTCACCGCGGATAAAGGAAAGGATATTTCCCTTGAATCCCCAGGTCAGTGACGAATATGTGCAGTTTTTGTTATTAGCTAAATTTGAAAAGCAATTAAATTAATTAAACATAATGAACAAGCACATAAAGGTTGTCCACGTAATTTTTGAACCACTGACATTTGCCCCCTAACTCATCATGCATACGATGAAAAATTACCATTTTTTTTTTAAATATAGTTTAACGTGTATTGTTTACATCCTGTAAATTTGCTGAGATTCTGTTGCGTAGATTTAGAAATGGAACCGAAAGAGCAAAGCAACATTATCCTGCCGAGAACTCGGAGAACGACTTGGGATACTGCATACTACCATAGAGGTAGCTCTAAGACTAGAAGGTCTCGAAGAAACGTGCTCAACTTTTTGGCTCAGCTCTGGTACTCTCTTCGGTCCCAAGCTATTCGATTCACCCCTCGAAACATAGGAAAAACCAATAACCCCTCATTTTACCTGTCAAACTTTCATAGCGAATCAAAACAAACATTGCGTAGTACTAGAATTTCGACTAGAATGGGATACGGTATTCGTTTGCTTGGGACCAATAGGCTAGTCAAGTAGTGAGCCAATTTAAAATCGTTAGTTTCGTATTGATTGTTGATACTACTACTGTTTCAAAAGCGCTGAAACGAATGTTTAACCATCGAACATAAGCCCTGTGCAGGACGAAACCAGGTCTACTGAGCAAAAACGTCCCCTTCTGTTGGTGCGTGCATCCAAAAGTAATCCGAATGCTTCGGTAAGGGATGTGGCTAAAAAGTTGGATGTTTCAATGAGTTATGTTCAGAAAGTGAAAGGTCGTGCTGAATGACATACGTAAAGTCTGTTTAGACAATAATCCGGACACATCAAAACTTAAGTAAACACAGCTTTTGCAATATATTTCAATTGTAGTTGTTTATTTCAGATTCAAGGGATATGATTTAAAAATTTATGAATTCTAAACATAGTTATTCGGTATTTGCATAAAATTTTCGAATACTTAACTACATCTATTAGGGTTTGCACAGACTCCTCAGATAGCCGTCTTTGTCCAAATTTGTTGGAAGTGTTTGATATCTTTGATTCCTTGTTTCTTTACAGAAAGGTTCCGCTTCATCAGAGCCCAAAATCTCTCGATTGGACTAAACTCTGAACAATTTGACGGATTTGAGGTTTTTGGTACACTATTCACTTGATCTGCTTCGTACCAATCCATCACAGTTTTAGCATAATGGCATTCGTTTTTGCAGGCGCTCTTTCTAGTAAATTTCCTTGTTGGTTGTGCTTGTAATGACGAAAAATTTACTCTTTCGGCCACACGTGCAAATTGCTTGCCAAATAAGGTATTTTTTTTTGGGGAATTTCGATGCCTTCTTCGTCCTGAAATACACAGCTGTAGCATTTTTGGCCACAGCAAAATAGAAAGCCAGCCCTGGAAGCTGCTTGAAATCTTCCAGGACATTAGTTTCATCGTCCATAACAACGCATGAAAATTTCGGCAAATATTCGCAGTACAAACGTCGAGTCCGTGGTTTAGCTGTCAAACTCTGTTTGTCGTTGCGATTTGGAACTGTTTTTACTTTATGGGACTTCAGCCTCAAACACTGTTTTGATTTTTTGACAAAACCAGGTGACATTCTTATTTTACGAGCCACCGTTCGAACAGAAAGATTCAATATCATCTTTACCTTTCGGTCCATGACAGGATCAGCACGTTCAATGTCTTTTCACTTCTCGGTTTCCTCTCGACCGACCGTCAAAAGTTCCGAAAATGATTTGAGCACACCGTGAACAGTGGCGTAGCTAATGGGGGTGCCAGGGGGCCAGGTCCCCTCCAGAATTGTCTAGCCCCTCCTCCAGAATTATCTAGGCCCCATCCAGATAAATTGTCTAGCTACGCCAAT